ACCTGCATCAAAACACCCTATTTGCTTATTGTTCATAAATCCACCTAAGTGACTCCTTTTCACTGTAATATAAGTTCACAAAAAAATTGGGAAAATTTAGAAAACTTTGGGGAAAAAATAAAACAAAAAAAAACTATTGTCTGACATTAACACATTGGGGTCTTGGTAGCTTTCTTATTTATAACTATTTATACAACAAAGATATCTGCTCATTATTTGTCAAATTTCAATTTTTTTTCAAATTTGTTTTGACTTATCTATGCTTTATATTTTTAGGTACTTATATCTCTTTACATCTCCCCTTAATATTTTCCATTATTTATACATTATTATAAATGTATACATTATTTATACATTTAGAAAGTTCTACTATTTTCAAAATTCTACTGGCTTAACAAATATTTCTATTTACCTGAGTTTATGAAGCGATATAAGAACACAGACTTTTCCAAATTTCTACCCAATTTTCTAATCTGTATTTACTGACAAAGCATTGCTTTTTCCATCAATTTCTCTAACCCTCCTTATTAAATTCTTATTTGTAGAAGGGTTATTTCAGGGGCAGCTGAAATTTTTCACTAAACGTTCATGTTTCAGTTGTTCTAGCTGCATAACATTTTAGTACCTAACAGTTAATCCTCCCTCACTTTCCTCTTTTTACCTGTTTATTTTTCCAGATGAACTAATGAACTGCTTAAACAATTTGGGGAAGATTTGACATTTTCACATTGTTTTCTCTTCTCAATTGTAAACAGGTCACACTACTATGCACCTTTAAACATTTTTCAAATCTTTGCCACCTTTAAGAAACAATGGGTTTCAAAATGTTACTACTACAATAAACTAGAACTTTCATTAAATTAACTTATGAGGGTACTTCAGAAAGTTTGTGGAAAAACAATTAAAATACGAATCCTGCCATGAACTCTTTGAAGACCCCTCATATATCTCAAGGAAATTAAGCTTTTCTGGCTTTTATGCACCATACTCTTCCCATTACAGCTGATTTGTATAGCTAAGGTAAAAAGTGCTGATCTTCTTCCTATAGTCACAAAGCAGATTCTAATTTCCAGTATGATTTTAGTTGTTTCTCCTGGAGTCAGTTACAAACATTTATTGTTTGCTTTAAGTACTTTCCTTGATATACTCTTTGATGCAATGACACATCAGTTTCATAGAATCATATATGATAGCAATTCTAACCTGGGACGGTCACAAAGCAGATTCTAATTTCCAGTATGATTTTAGTTGTTTCTCCTGGAGTCAGTTACAAACATTTATTGTTTGCTTTAAGTACTTTCCTTTGATGCAATGACACATCAGTTTCATAGAATCATATATGATAGCAATTCTAACCTGGGACTGATGGATGGGCTTCAAGGTATTTGTGAAACTCTGCCTTAAAAGAAAAATTTTATATATGTGCATTTTTTTCTAGGAAGAGGGTCTGTAGTTTTCATTAGATTTTCAAAGAGATATATAACCCACAAACAGTCAAGATGTCAAAGTCTCTGACCAACATAATCTACAGCTCATTATTCTACTACTACAGTTTGAATTATTTTCCTCTAAGTAAATTACTCAAAATTGTTCTTTCTATTTTCATCATCATGTGCCAACTAAGGCTACCTAACTGCACTCAATCCATTCATTTAGCTGCTTCTAAGTCATTACACACAATGGAAAATATAGATCTTTAGAAGTATGCCACAGAATTAAAATGGTTAGAAAACACTGTGCAAATTATAGTATTATGACAGGTCATTTGAACTTATACCTACTTCCTCCATACATATATTGTAAGCTGACTTTCTGATTCCTACATATACTAAAAAGACTATACCTGATATTTAGGCATCTCGGTATACTCCATAGTTGGGTTTCTTACATCATTCTGCTGTTCCTATTTGAGGTAAGAAAATCAGGCAACTATTTTCAAACTTAAAGGCAAATACAGAAAGGAAAAAAAACCCATGTAACCATTACATCTCAATTTGCTTATAATACCCAGTTAAATTCCAAATTAACAATGTCTAGTTAATAGACATTAAAAAACCAAGTTAATCAATTTAGTATAATACTTTAATCAAAATATATGCTATTAATAATACAAATATTAGTATTAATATCATCAAAATACCTTTTATATGTAGGGTAATAAGTAATATGGCCTGACAACAATCAAACAATTAACTTTGGATCACATGAGGAGCAATCATTAACAGAAACTCTTAGAAATAAAAAACTAATTATCACTCAGGAAACACACCATTTTTGCCAGTTGTTTTATGTATTTTAAAACTTATTTAACAAACATTTACTGAGTATCTTGCACTTGAACATTATATACAACTTTTTACTGACAGACTACAGGTTCCTTAAGAGCCAGGGCCATGTTCTAATAAACTTTTGGGCCTGGGAAAACAGTTGAACTCAATAAGTATTTAGTCAATGGAAAACACATAGGGAAATTTTTAAGATGAGAAATGCTAAACAGGTGATTTTTATTTTAGTTCATAAAAAAATGCAAGCTGTTTATACATGTTTTCATGTCCCTCAACTGTTTCTTGTTTTTTTTCAAACTGGATATAGCTTCAAATATTTGGGACCATCATGTTGATGGTCTCCGTTAAAACTATATTTTCACTGGGAAAAAAAAAACGTTTAATTTCAAACTAAACATCAAAATAGTGAAATAAAATCGAATCATGCTGTTATAATAAGGATTTACTTACAGACAGTATTTCTTTTATATTATTTGATGTTTCTTTAAACCTCTGTAAATCCATGCTATCTCTGTGTCCTTTAACAGAAAAAAGACATTGTAATGAAATATTTTTGTTTTCCCTTATCTATTAAAATAATAACATTGTCTATAAAAACAAGTGATTTATGTTGTTTTTCAAGTAGTTTTGATAGCTTTGCACAGCCTCCTTTAGTTTTTCTAGTAAATAATATTGAAAATATTTGGCAAGAAGTTGACAAAGATTAGTTCAGTTTACAGTAACAGCAAAAGTCAAAGGCCTCCGAAAAGAATCCAATACATGATACAAGTGAATAGCCTGAAATTTAAAAGGAAAAAAGGCAACAATCATTTTTACTATTAATAACAAAATATAAAAGCATTATACGGTTGTCACTCAATATCTGTGGGGTATTGGATCCAGGAACCCCCACAGATACCAAAATCCATGGATGCTCAAGTCCTTTATATAAAATGGTGTAGTATTTGCATATAATCTATGCATATCCTCCTATATACTTTAAATCATCTCTAGATTACTTATAATACCTAATACTATGTAAATAATTGTTATACTATATTGTTTATGAAATAATGACAAGAAAAAAAAAGCCTGTACATGTTGATTTTTTGATCTATGATTCACTGAACCCATGGACGTGGAACTCATGGATACGCAAGGCCGACTGTATATATACCACACTAATAATATATTAACCAACAGGTTAAAATGTATTTCAAAAGAATAAGTTTGGATAGATTTTATGTAGGAAAAGTTATGTATTTATAAATCCACAGTGAACTCCACATAGCACGGCAATAGATATCAGCATGTTCAGTACCTGGATAACTTGTCAGGCTGGCCTTAAGGTGGAGATTTTACGTGGGTTTACTAACAGTCTCTGAACAATATCTATGCACATTCCATAACTAGGTAAATCCCTAGGTTGGGAAAGCTAGAACAAGTGTTCTAGCTGAAGGGTACCAAAGACTATGAAAGCTGAATGTACCAAAGTACTCATACAAACAAGCCAAGATGTTTCTTAAGAATTCTTTATTAAATACTTTAATCTTTAATAATCTAACAGGAAATTATCTCCCAAATAGTAGGGACTTAGCTAGTTCTCTGAAGCATTCCCTCTTCACCTATTTCTTCCACATATCATACCGTCACCATTTAAATATGCTTGTCTTCATCTCCATTAAAAATAAACAAGTAAAACACCCTAAACATAAAACTCACAATATTTGTTATTTCTTTCTTCTTGCCCTCACTGCCAAGTTTTTCTAAGAGTTGTCCCCAGTCACTCCCTTTGCATTCTCTCCTTCCATTCACACATTATTTCACTATAATCTGGCTTCTCCCCCATCACTTCCTTGACTGACCCAGTTTTTAATCAAGGTCATTGATGTGTTATCCTTTTCAAAATAAATATTTTTTCTTGTTCTTACCTTATTTAAGCTATCATAGGTGTAAGAATGAATCATTCCTCTTCAAAATGCTCTCCTCTCTGGATATATCAGTGGGTAGACCATAAAAACTTATTTTTCAAGTAGACACCTGCATTTCCCTGTTGTCCTAAAGTACTTTGTAGTATACCCTTTCACTCTCAAAAGTGTCCTTGTTTGGATAATGAATTGTATGGTCACCCATTTATAAGGCACTCTCTTTTCCAGTTGTTTCTAACCCCCCTGCACCTTCCTATCATTCCCCAAGTACCTAACGCTAATTAATCACTCACGTTCTTTCAACAGGAGTTAATCAAATTCAATTGAAGATACTCAAATTCAAAATACAGTGCCCAAATAAGTTTTCCATATAATTGTTTATTATAGTAAATTGCACCAAAGAAGTATGTGCCAATATAACTCTTACAGCCCAACTCAACCTATTTTCCCCACTTCTGATTCCATTTAAAAATTTTAGTACTAAACTCTATGAAAAGATAGTCCACTTGTCACACAGTACATGTTTTTATTAATTATTTTTCTTTCTAAGATGATGATTTTTATTTCTACGGTGAAAAGTAATATTGATATGCAAATATCAGTTTGCCAAACTTACCTATAAATGCTCCAAATTCTATATTATCTCCGGATTCTGCAGCTTTAGAGCAAACAGTTTCTTGATCTTTGGTTACAGTTTCCAAGTGGCTTTTGCAACTTGGCTGGGATGGTGTACTAACAAAAAATTTGGTTGGTGGGGATGATAGATGTGGTATGCTATTTGACGAACTGCCTAATTTTTGATTTTTACTAAATATTTTTAAGATTTCTATCCCATGTAGTCTCTGTCGCAGTTCTGGAGGAGAAACAGCACTTGGGAATAAGGCACCACAAGAGGAACCAGCCTCTGGAAAATGGAATTCTTTTCTCTGGGGTATTGCAGGTAAATCTTGACCAAATGTGTTACACTGGGAATCTTTTTCATCTTTCATAAAAATATTACAGAGAAAAGGATTATTACTTTCAAGGTCACCTTGAGGAAGAGAGGAGCTAACTGTATTTACAACACTGTGCTTTTTCCATACAGAAGGTCGCATAGGACCATCATCAATAAGGTTTTGAGCCAAATGTTTGGAAATGCTCAATTCTCGTGTGATTTCATTGTGAACTTTGCTAGCTTCTGAAGCTTTCTGGGCAGTGAGTGTTTTTAATGTATCTACAGTCAGGGCTGAGAGATCTTGCAAATGGCCAATTTGAGAATCTAATGACTGTAATGATCTTTTTATGTAGTTGACACGATCTCCAACTTCTTTAATCTGAATGCACATCTGTTCCACTCTGTAGGGGAGAAACAGACTTTTTACAAATGTTACAAATTAATGTAGAAATTCTTTTTGTAGTGTCAATGAAAATGATGGAGATATTTTACATACACTCAAATAAGTAAGATATAAAATAAGGTATGGTTACGTATTTATACAAGGCATACCTTATGTTTTAGGAGATCCAGTGCTAATCTTATCATAACAAAATGCAAGATTTCAAAAACTGTTTCTGTTTGAGAGGCTATTTATTCCAATTTACCCACATCAAAGTAACACAAAAAAATGTGTATACAGCTACGTATTCATATAGCATTACCATTACTGTAACTGCACAAATACCATATGCTTCCAGAATGTAGCAAAGCCAACAGAAAGAAAACAAATGCTTTAAGATAATGAGGATAGTTTTACTTTTCTCCCCCCCTACACCAAACGTTAACCCTCAAAGAACATTAACTCTTCTCTATCCTGTCACTGAAGTCAAGAAATAACAGAGACTGACTTAGTGACTTATATGAAGTATTAGAAGTAAAGAACTGAACAATCTTCCCAATATATAATATAAAACTATAAGTAAACTTATTTGTTTGACAAAATAAATTGAACATAATCATGTATTAAAGACATAACTAACAGAACCCATTGTGACAGTCATTCAATTAAAAAGAGCTTCTGAACCTTTCAAAAGTGACACGAATTCTCTCTTCACTCCCAGAATGGAATTTGTCATCTTTTTCATTAAAATACATCTCGACACACTGCTCTTCAAAATCATGAAGTTTCTTTTGATCTTCTTCTGTTAAGAAAAGTTCTAAGCGAGGAAAAAGAAAAAAACAAAACAAAACAAAAAACAATGAAGAACCATAAAGGTATCAAACTTTAGCTCATGAGTCCTGTGAATTATTCAGGGTTCATAAGACTAATATCCACCATATGCCTTTTTTCTGTGCTTTGAAAGCACAGTAAACAAGTATCTTTTTTTTTCTTGATTCACAGTGTGGCGTCAGCAGAATAGTTTCAGGTACTTCCTCCTCTTCTAATTTCCCTTCTCTATAAACACCCCTCCCCTATCCATCTTATACTTTGCCCTCACATATCCAGTCAGAGGAATTTAAAAATTAATTTGGCAGAACAGAAACCCACTGTAAAATTTAAGCACAATTTGTTTTTGTCATTGCTTTCTTTTTTTGGCAGCAGCTGGCTGGTATAGGGATCTGAACCCTCGACTGTGGTGTTATTAACACCATGCTCTAACCAACTGAGCTAATCAACCAGCCCCTTAAGCACAATTTGACATGGTGGTTAGTCTCATGCGTAAACAGAATGTACCAAAATTGTTATTATTTACAGAGTAGCAAAAATGGTTTGTAGAATAGTAAAACTGTTATGATTTACATTACCATTTTAACAAAAACAAACTGAAATGCCATCCTCAAAAAGAAGTTTTATACTAAATCCACTTTTATACATAACATACTGCACTTAAAAATTCCTTTACATTTAGGCAACTTAACAAAAGCCTTTACAATATCATTAACCAAGTCTTCTGCATAAAATCAATACACACCCTTCAGTGTAATATTGAGAAGTGATAAAATGAAAACATATGCCTTAATATATTCTACATACTTGGTCCATCAGAAGTTTTATCTTTCTTTCTTCTTTTACATATGCAGCAAAACAGAGAAACTATATGGCTAAGAACGATAAGTGGAGGAGGCAAAACTGGTTTCTCGTGATAAGCCATAATAAAGTGATAACGTTGGTACTTCCATACAATATTGGAAATTGCCTTCACTTGCAAATACACATTGCTAGAATAACAAAGAATAAAAATAAAATAAACTCAGCTAATCATATCTTAAAGTTTTAAATACCAAAGATTTTACTATAATTCTGCACTAAATAAAGATTCGAAACAGTGCTCTCATTAACAAGAATAAGAGGCAGATGAGAAACTGGAAGAATACATGCAAAAAGTATAAGGCAAAAGGCTGATACTGCTGAGGACCTTAACCACAACCTCCCAGAAAAATAGGCAGAAAAAATGATTTTCAGATTTTAAAAACTGTATATAAATGGCTAAAACACATTTGCAACAACATGGATGGACCTAGAGAGAATTTTATTAAGTGAAACAAGTCAGGCCCAGAAAGAGAAATATCACATGTTCTCACTTATTTGTGGGAGCTCAAAATAAATAAATACACAAAAAACCGGGGGTGGGGTGGGGGAGGGAAGACAACACAACAATTACAGTTCCTTGAAGTTGATGTGACAAGCGAACAGATAGGACATTGTTGGGAGGGAGGGGGGAGAGGGAGGAGGGAAAAAAATAAATAAAATAAATAAATAAATAAATGGCTAAAACATAAGAAAATATTTAATCTTAGTAGTAATCAAATAAGTAGTAATCAAATAGTTCAAATAAAAACAAGATCCTTTTATATACTATCAAATTGACAACCATTAAAAAAATAACACCCAGTGTCGGCAGGGATCTGGGGACATAGGCCTATCTGGACTTAAATGAAAAAGACCTAAAATACGTATACTGAACAAGTCTACTTTTAGGAAAACATTTTAAGGAAATACTTAAGTATTGTTCAAAGATTTAACCATAATGTGGTGTTTGGGGGCAAAAAACTACAAACAATCTAATAAAGCAATATAACATATTGACTTGAAAAATTATGGTCTATATGATGAAGTATCAGGTAGCCATTAAGAATAGATCGCAGAGGAATAGTTAACTGATTTGGGATAATGTTCAGAATATTTTGCTTAGTTAAAAAGAAAAAAAAACAGTATATAAAATACAAGAATATTAGTTTTGAAAATAAAAAGTGGCTTATAAATAATTATAAGAAAATGATAAAAAGATGTACACCAAAATATTAAGGGTGAGACTACTGATGAATTTTCCATTTGCTTGTTTTTAATATTGAATGTATATACCTTGGCCACCTAGGAAAAATCACAGATAAAGACTAAATCTATAAAAGAACTGCATGTTGAAAGATAATAAAGCTTAAAATTAAAACTCATTTGATTTGAAAAAGCATGTTTTCTTATTTATAATTTCAGTTAGTTTTAGTAGTTGAAGCCTCAATAAAATTTTCAGATTTAAAATTCTGTACATTTCCTTCAAAATGAGTAGAACTGTATATTAAATGATGTCATAATAAGCAATTGAATAAAATTCTTACTTGAAAAATGCAATAAGAAGATTAACCATAATGATATACTGTACAAAGAGGTAGACTGCTTGAAGAAATGGAGTCAACCACGTCCCAGGACCACAGATTTCAGTGATAGTGGAATCATTTGCACACACTTTAGAAAGAAAAAAAATTTAAATATAGTTAATTCATCAGTAACTGCTATTAATCAGTGTTTAATGCTTGCTTATTTTACTCAAAGGAAGTTTTGACTATGTACAAATCTGTTCTACAGATTCCAGCAAAACAGAGGGAGAGAACATACCTAGGGATACAAAGTGGAGTGAAGAAAGGGGGATGGGAAGGGAGGTCGGAGATAATTGGGGGGATAATTAGGGTGATAATTGCGTGGGGGACACAGGGTATAATCACAATTTGTGGTAATGGGCATGCTGCCAGTATGGATCTGGCCATCACATCTTAGGCATGAGTGGTGACAATTTGCTCTGTACCCCATGAATATTCATAGCCAATAAAAAAACCAAAAAAACAGATTCCAGCAAAAGCCTCTGGGCAGGCAGCCACAGGAACTCTAGCTTAAAAGTACTCTAATACAGAAGGATTTTGTGAGGGTTGGAGGTGCTATCCATCCTAACACTCTATGCCAATAAAAAAACCAAAAAAACAGATTCCAGCAAAAGCCTCTGGGCAGGCAGCCACAGGAACTCTAGCTTAGAAGTACTCTAATACAGAAGGATTTTGTGAGGGTTGGAGGTGCTATCCATCCTAACACTCTATTTCAAACAAGGAAGTATACTTAGGTGGTTGTATTTACCCTTCAAGGCTGGATTTAGCTGGAGGAGCACTAAGGAGGGTAAAATTCCTGGATTCAGCCACTCTATAACATTTCTGTAAGAAAAATGTCTGAAACTTAAGGAGTATGATAGACTTACAGTAAACCCTGTAAATTTACAAACATAAAAATTACTGAGTTTATCTTGTGTCCCAAATGAGGATAAAGGAGTAGCTAAAGTGCTTCTCAAATACATAGTGATTAGATTTGAATTCCTTGCTTTTCATTACCCTCACAGGGAATGTTTCTGAAGCCAGAACATAGCTGAATTCCAACAAGGAAGGGAAGAACTTTAATACCCACCCCAGAGTTACAAAGAATAAAGAAAAACTAATTTAGGTAGGGCGAGGATTAGAATTAAATAATCATGAATTAGTGACAAGTTCTATATAAATATTTATAGTATACTTGGCACTTGGTGTTAGTAATAGTTTTAAAATATATACGTCATTGAAATTCTCATAATGGCTATATTACTTTAAATGGTTTTATAGGCAAATTGATGGTAAGGTCCTGCCACTCAAACAATTTTATGAATCTATTTCCATTCTATTCTGATTAGTTTGGAGAAGCAAATACCCAAGAAAGAGAATGCAGGAAACTAAAAAACTATACCCAATGCTTTATTAACAACTCTACAACTAGAGCCACATCACTAGAAAAGTAGTAGGAAATGATATTGATCAGGAAGCTATTAAACACAAAATCTGACCAGGTTGGTAAAACCTCACTATTTTAACCACTGTCTGAGAACAACTAATGACCACAATCTTCTCCCTAGACAGCCAGCCACCTAATCACCCATAAATAGCTGGGGAGGAAGCAACACAGGTATGGGGAGAGGGTCGAGTGAAGGAAAAAGAAGATAGAGTGAATGAGAGAGAACAAATAAAGATTCCATAACTCAGATATAAAGGCCAGTAAAGAATATCCCTAAAAGCTGACAGCATCACCTATGTTCACGAATTATCTAGCCACATTCTCTAGGATAATATAGGAGTCAGAATGTGAATAGTAACAAAATTGTGTAACAGACTTAATGTTCTCTTTAAGAATGGGGTTGCACACTTGACTAAAAAAAAAAAATGGAGTTGAACAGGTGGGTGATTATCTCATTTATTAGCTCATCCATAGAATGTACTTACAAATTTTGATAGAAACCTTGAAAATCTGTCAACCTTTGTAAAACTCAACACACTGTAAACTCTTCAAGATTCATGCAAGATCATTATTTTTGTCATTAACATTGTGCTTGACTCCTCAATATCCAATCCACCCTCACTGGTTTAAGCTAATTATACTAATCCATCCCACTTGCCTGTAACAGTATTAGAAGTGGGCAGGCTGAAGCCAACTTGAGCTAATGAAAAGAGAGGTTCAAAAGGGGATTCTGTGAAAGGCACTTTTTCCTCTAACGAGAACCACAGATAAACAATGTCTATTTCCTCCAGTTGTTAGTGACAGTTTTATAACAATAAAGAGAATCAGACACCATGACTACAGAGAAGTGAGATGAAAAAAAGCAAGGGTCCTTAGCTATGAATTAACCAAACCTAAAGACCAGTCTACCTCTGATCTTTCTGTTACGTGAGCTAATAAATGTCCTCATTGTACAAGCCAGCTTAGGCCAGATTTCTATTACTTGTAGCTGAAAAAAATTCTAAAATACTTTTTTTTCAATCAATTTTTATATTTCTTCTGGGGTTAACTAATGCATTGTTGGGGGCTTACGTTGGTAACAGTTTGACTTCTGAAAATACGCAATATTACTATAATGTAAACATAAAACAAAATAACCAAAAAGTAAATTTGTAAACATAAATCCTTACCATCAATTTCATATGCATAGACTTCACCAAAAATCATCCAGTATGGCTGAAAAACTATATCTTTAGCAAGAGTCCAAGATGGTGCTTCATGAGGATAAAGTATTGCCTTTCTGGGAACACCAAAACTAAGTAATACAAGAGCCATAATCACTACAATGTAGAACATATTGGCCACCTGTTAAAAAATAAACACTATTAAAATACAAGAGAACTTAAACACTATGACAAAATTTCACATTAAAAAAATGTTTTTAATGTTCTAATATATAGTTTTTGAGTTTCTTTTTATTCCTAATAATAGCATTCAGGGAAATTCCATCACTATGTAAACCTTAACATCAAGGAGATTATGTAAAAAAATGATCTGGGAAGCTAGGTAAGTCACAAGCATCTTTATCTATATAATGAACTGGTATCATTGGTTCAAACTGGAGTTTGCCTATCTTGGGGGTTCACGAAGATTTTCAGAAATAAACACATGGGCAGATTTAGAAATCAATTTTCATAACTGCCCTTTCCTAAAGCTTCTTTGTTCTTATAATGGAGGTTCAGTCTCTCTTTTCCACCTCGTCTTTCCACCTCCACTTTACAAAAAGAAGGCATACTTCCCACCTTCCTGAACTTTACCATGGTGCTTTTTCCTGGGATGTGAAAACCTCCCAGGAGCCAAACAAAACAGCAAACTGAATTATCAGTATAGTACGGGTGTTGAAAAAGTGATACCAATGCTTGAGTAACATATTTTTACAAGTCAGGTAGTTTGCAATTCTTTAATTTTAACAAAATTAAAAGAGCCTAATTGAGCTATAACATAATAAACATTTGAAAAATAACTTTTGTTAATCATGTTAAATCACAATGTGAATTCTGACATCATTACACAGAAATTCAAAGAATTAGGTAAAATGCTGTAATAAAATGTTAATTCCTATCTACTTACATACGTATACAAGTCTTAGCTTTACATCTAAAAAAGTGAATGCTTTCTCACTCTAGCAATATGTAATATTCATCCATGAATAATAATCTAACTGGAAAAAGCCACATGCAGCTCAAGAGACTACATTGACAATAAATTTGTTCTTTAATCTACTATGAACTAATAATAATTGTAATGATAAATCAATCTAAAAGAAATTATTATGACATTTTCATATTTTTTAAAATGAATATGTAGTGAAAGGAGAAATGGATGGCAGGAATGTAAACGACAGAGAGTAGACAATCAGTCTAGTTTGGATGGAGTAATTTTATTGGGGCATGAGATTAGAAAGAAAAGTTGTGTAGAGAGTTTAAAGTCTTAAAATATCAATTCAAATGAAGAACTTAGACTTGATCCTTCACCTTTAAAATTTTATTACATGGGCCAGTAAATTTCCTTTTTTTAATTTAGAGTTGGGTCCTTGCGGCTTGCAAGGTCCTAATACTTTCCAAGATTGTTTTCTTATTTGTAGAATGGTCAACTTATGCCCTCATTGTGCATTTGAGAGAATTACTGAATGTGTTTTTGAAAAACTAAATCTAGGGATAAAAGATTTTAAAAGGCAAAAAATTCATCAAAACATTCATGCCATTTGATATACTATGGAATCTAAATATTCATCTGTGAAGAAAAAGCCCAAGTCACATATTCAAAACAAAACCCAAACCTCTACCAAAGCAAATGAAATTTATTCAAGATCTACGGCTGATGATTCAGACATCTCTGGATTTCATACCTGTTCACATAAAGCCTATTTGACAACCTTCCTTACACTTGATCTAAATTTAATTAGTAATATTTGAATATTCTGTTTGCTCATATCTAAAATGAGGATTCCTATCTTGAATGTATAATGTAGATGAATGAGTGGTAGAAGTTTACCATTTACCATGTAATTTTCATTAGACTGATCTCTATATAAAGATATAAAATGTGAGAAAGGTTTCTTCCTTTTTATCTTTTTTATCTTCAGTCTTTTTAAAGCTGTTTCCTCTGGTCAGAAATTCCCTACTCAGGAAAAATCCTTTTTACTAAACTCTTTTGAAATGCTATATGCTTTGTGAAAGAAAGCCTTCATAACAGAACTGGCTACCAGCTCTTCCGTCTTCACAAAACAGTTTATCATATTTTTCAATAGCTATTTATTTGTTCACATCCTCTTGAATATTTGATTGTGAATTCCATGAGTATGTGGCCCATGTCTTATTCATCTTTGAAGCCCCAGGTTAGTATGACTCTTAGCATATAACAGATACACAAAAAGAAAAGAATGTTAGAATTAGGATGTTAACCACTACAAAAGTTTTGAAGGGTGTGTAAAAGGAAGATGGCACTAGGGGAAAACAACTATGATGAGATAAATGACTGGTTGATGAGGGTGGTTCTAAAGAAAATCACAGATAAAGAAAATCAAATATATATTCAAGTTCTCCGTAACAGGGATGCGACAGCGGACGGGAATGTTGTGAGTAGGTCAGAGGATAGATTCAGATGAAAATCCAGATAGCTCTACTTTCCCTTGGCTCCCTCTACTTTTCCCATCTCCATCCTTTATTATGGCTGTTCATGTCTGTACTTCTTGCCATCTCCCATTTATATTACCATTAAATTGACTTGATACCACTAAGTCACTCAATAATCTGTCAAGCAATGACAGCTGAAGTACCTTCTTGCTAAAGAAGTTAAACTAAACCCAATTCTTCAAAAAAACCTTACCCCCCCTATTTTTCCTGGAAATACGATAAGAATGCTAAAATGGATGAATAATGAATACTTCTTTGATTTGACAAATAGGAAATCAGTAATCCTCAACTGAGGGAAAGGAGACAAATTCTCCTGGAGGGATAATAAGTAATGTGGAAAAGCAAATTAAACAATAATATTTTATATCTAGAAAACATAAAAATCTTATTTTCATGTCACAAAGACGATCTTGTGAGCTAATGGGGTTACTCATAAAATTAGAGGTAATTTAAAAGACCGTGATTTTCCACGATTAAGGGAATTTCAGAAACTCTAGGAGTAGATTTTTAAATTAATTAAAATAGGTCAGATATTTAAAAAGAATTGAGAAACGGCACATATTTTATAAGGCCATTTTGGTAAAACCATTATATATTTACTCCTATGAAGTCTGACACAAATAAACATGTATTCACACATATGTGTTAAAGAATGAAAGGATATATATCAAACTGTTAATAGTTGATGTCTCTGGATGGTGGTTTGTATTTGCTAAAATTTTCTACGATCAATAGTACTTTTAGAATAAGAAAGAAAAAGTTACTTTCACAAAAGTAATAGCTCTATATGAATTTTGCCTTTTTCACCACTGAAAACCAAAATCAATTCATGGCAGGAGTAGGCCCAATATGTTTTAGATTTTTCAGTTCAGTGTATTAAAAACCCACACATTAAATTTGACATCTAGATTAAAAAACAAAAAAAACCTGACTGTTGAATTAGCCTACGAGAAAGAACAAAATATTGGGCATATTATATTAAGAAAACATTAGGCATTCTGGATGTAACTTTGAAAAACAGCCTGATCAGGAAAGAGTTACTTAAAGACATAAAACATAGATAGTATTTATTTAGCTAGCATTATCTTGCAAAGAACATTAATAATGGAACAAGATGGGTGTAGGAGGTAGGGCTGAGCATGGGAAGCTCTTGTGGGACTTTTTCAGACTATCCCCACTGGTTGAAAATCATAATGAACAATCTGACTAGTTGCTTTCAACAGCCATACAATGAAAAGTCACTCCAAATTATAAATGTCAACACTTCTTCCTCTTAAGGAAAAGAAAAAACAAATTTGGAAGGAAAACTTCAATGATTTCCCTATATTTTTATTCTCTAAAAAGTTCAGACTGCCCATTTTGCAATGTCCCATATAACTCAGCTACACCATGTTTATCCAGTTTGACCGCCAACTTAGCACTCCTTATAAAAGAAACTCCAGTCAGATTGTGCCATTTTACTCACATTTATATTGAGCTTTCAAAGAATATCCCACTGCTTTTAAAAAAAGCCTCCGCTGAGTGATCTCTTTCCATGAATCCCTACACCCCCTACTCATTAATTTAATCAATAAACTATACTGTTAGATAAAATCTCATATGATTTCCTAAAATATTTTATGTTTTGAGGACAGGTTCCTCAAGCTAGAATATAAGATTATAAAACATAACTACAAGATTGGTAAAGTCAAAAAAGAAATGTGGTTTCAAGTTCAGAGGCAACACCCTATTGCTTACTGCATTGTCTTGCAGAGCATTGAAGAATAACCATTAAAAACTACTTGGTGGGGCCGGCCCGTGGCTCACTCGGTAGAGTGCGGTGCTGATAACACCAAGGCCCCGGGTTCGGATCCCACATAGGGATGGCCGGTTTGCTCACTGGCTGAGCGTGGTGCTGACAACACCAAGTCAAGGGTTAAGATCCCCTTACCGGTCATCTTTTAAAAATAAATAAATAAACAAACAAACAAACAAACAAACAAACAAATAAATAAATAAATAAATAAATAAATAAAAACTACTTGGTGAGCAATTAAAATTTTTCTAAGGATATAAAAATAAAAGGAAAAAAATCTTGAGAACAATTATAATTTTTTAAGGATATAAAAATAAGAGAAAAAATCTCAAACAAACAAACAAACAAACAAACAAATAAATAAATAAATAAATAAATAAATAAAAACTACTTGGTGAACAATTAAAATTTTTCTAAGGATATAAAAATAAGAGGAAAAAAATCTTGAGAACAATTATAATTTTTTAAGGATATAAAAATAAGAGGAAAAAAATCTTGAGAACAATTATAATTTTTTAAGGATATAAAAATAAGAGAAAAAATCTTAAGAATAAAACAATCAAAAGAGAGTGAATGTTCAGCATTTTTATCTTGTTTTTCCTACTTGTAATGATTTTATCCATACGACCAACAAATACTAACTAAGGAGAACCTAGTAGGTATCAAGCTCTGTGATAAGTACTGGAGATATGAAGGCGACCAAAATTAGACAAGGTTCCTTCCTCTCCAAGGAGTTTATAGTCTACAGAAGATAAATAATATAATTAGAATGTAGTTTAAAATATAGTTAGACACAGAGATAAATATACTGAAGGGAAGGACATGGGTACCAGAAGGGTATATATCAAATAAAACTGATCTAGCTAAAAGGGACCCAAAAAAAGCTTCCCTGAAAAAAAATCATGTTGGAGCTAAGATCTGAAGGATAAACTTTGTTTAATTAGTCAAAATAGCTAAGGGTATGAGTGTAGATGAGGGTGATCATTCTAAGCAAAAGGAAGAACATAAGCTATGGTACTCTAGTAGGGCTATGTTAAAGATAATTTAAAAGGCCTGTGTAACTACAGCATAAGTAAAAGTTCAAGAATGATATAAGATGAAGTTAAAAGGAAAGCAAGCAAGATGATATTATCAGAAGAAACAAGGTAAAGCGTACAAAGGATCTCTCTGTATTAATTCTTATAACTGTATGTGAAACCATAATTATCTCAAAATTAAAAGTTAAAAAAAAAAAAGAAGGAAAGGAAAGCAACAGTCAAACTTGGCAAGGCTTGTGGGTTTCATTAAGTATACTAATCTTCTGGAGCAACGCAAAACCACTAAAAATTTTTTTAGGATGGGAAGTGACATATTCAGATTTGCATTTTGAAATAATTGTTCTAACTATAATGTAGATTGAAGATAGGCCAGAGTGACTGTGAGAAAACGGGTTATTGGACTACTTCAGGTAACAGATAATGGTGAATTAGATTAGGATTGTAGCAATGAAGAAGAAAATAAATATATAGATTGGAGCTAACAAGTTTGTATTTTTTCATTCAGATGCCAAATAGCCCTCCCTAGCAAGCGGCATTTAAAAATTAAAACATTTTAAGACAACACAAACAGAATATGGTTTTCCTCACCATATCCCATCAAATATTTCTCCTCAAAAGTTAATAAAATATCCTTGAGGAATGGTAGACTTGGAGTATGAGGGAAATAAACAGGAAGTAACAGACATTAACTGGTTCAAGTATTATAACTTTGTTAATAACACGTTTTTATGGCTTTTAAGAAAAAATATCAATAAACCCATAAATTTTAACAGACACCTCTCAACTTACCATTTTTCCAATCATCATTACATAAGGTCCTGCCTGTTGATTTACAGCTAGAAAATCTAGCAAACGCACATACCAAAATATTATGTTAAGACAGTAAATTAATCTTCCAGCCACAAAAACATGATTATCATATGCATTCTCAAAGTTCCATTTTGTTCCAAATCTTAGTCCAAATCCAATGAAGAAAGTAATTATGGCAATTGTATCACTGATATTGAAGTAATCACTGAACCACACTTTAATCTTCTGGTTTATTTTCCCAGCTTCAGACATAAAGATCTAAAGGTTCAACAAGAACAAAAAAGGTTTAATCAATTTCTTATTAAAACACAGCATTCAATTATAACATCACAGCAGAATTTTAGATATGTTTTAATGTTTCAAAATGCTTTCATATATTATCTTAGCATTTGATGATGTATTTGATCACCAAAATAGTAAGATAGCAGAGACAGACAGTCCTTATAAATAAAGGACCAGGAGCTGGCTGGTTAGCTCAGTTGGTTAGAGTGTGGTGCTGATAACACCAAGGTCCAGGGTTCAATCCCTGTATTGGCCCCCTGCCACTAACCAAAAAAAAAAAAAAAAACACACACACACACACATTTATTTATTTATTTATTTATTTACATACGTGCGCACACACAGAGACATATATATGTTGTATATATAAAATGACCTGCCCAACCAAGCTGAAAATCTTAGATTACAACATGGTTCTCTGGACCTGGAATATGAAATATTTTTTAAAAGTTGTTTAATTTCAAATTGAAGCAACACTTGGATATCCTGGTAGTATACTATCTTCTTAAGTAGCTGTAACTTACTTAAAACATATATATCTTCTCTTAAATGTAAGAATTTAAAAAACACCTTTTGGGAGGAATTGTAATACATTCACAGCTTCAAAATCATAGTGTATCATAAATACTGAAAAGTCTCCCTTTTGCTCTTCTCCCTTAGCCAATTAATTACCCTTCCCACTAGAGGCAACCACTATTATTACTATCTCATGAATCCTTGAAGAAGTTTTATACATATATATACTTCAAAAAATGCTTCGCAACTTGCTTTTGTCATTTAACAGCTTAATTTTCATCAACATATGGACCATAGCACTCAGAGAAATTTAAAGAGCAAAGTAAGTTATTGAATATAATAAATTACTATGGTATATAAGCGGGAGAGAAGTATAATCCCTTCTAATTATTTTTGCAATTTCGTATATTCTCTAAATGTAAAGCAGAGACATGAAATAATCAAAAGTATTTATGCAAGTGTGTTATAAAACCACATCTACATAGCTACTAGTTTGAATAGAAAGTGTAAAAATTTGGGCTGAGCCCGTGGTGCACTCGGGAGAGTGCGGCGCTGGGAGCGCAGTAGCGCTCCCGGCACAGGTTCGGATCCTATATAGGGATGACCGGTGCACTCACAGCACTCACTGGCTGAGCGCGGTGCAGCCGGTCTCAAAAAGGACAAAAAAAAAAAAAAAAAGAAAGTGTAAAAATTTATTTAAGGAGAAAACTTTTTTTCCCAAAATCAAAATGTTAGAAAATTTACAATTTAAACTAAAAACTGAAGGATACAGGGATATAAATCTAAATAACAATTCAGTGGGCAACATAGTACATTTTAGTGAGCAGTGCAATGAGAGCAGAATAAAAAATCCATTTATAATTTACCTACCTAACTGGCCATATGTGTATTTAATACTTTTTTTTTTTCTTTTTTCTTTTTTTTTTTTTTACTGACCGGTAACAGAATCGCAACCCTCGGTGTCGCGCCCGTACTGGGGACTGGCAACGGGATTGCAACCCTCGGTGTTGCGCCCGCACCATGCTCAGCCAGTGAGCGGGAACCGGTCTCCACATGGGATCCAAACCCTCAGCGGGAGCGCCACCGTGCTCCCAAGTGGCGCACTCTCTAGTGCGCCACCGGGCCGGCCCATATTTAATACTTTTTGAAGAGTAATAGAGAGCATAAATATGAATGGAGAGGAAATAAGACAAAAAAAAAAAATCTAGGCTATGTTTCTGAGACACATCATTGTGTTTGTAATGGTGACAAAGTAAACAGCATACTCACTGATCTCGTCTACTGCCATTACTTTTAGAACAACAAAAATAAACATGTTCTAGACTTCTATAATGTCATCACCCACTGAAGTTATGAATAATATATACACATACCCACGTACACACCTGCAGTGGATTGAATGGCCTAAAGTCATTGATGCTTAATTCCCATTGTAACTGTTGAGAGTGGGGAATCCTATTACGGTAATTGAAAGTGGGCCCTGGAAGAGGTGATTAGACTGTGAGGACCATGGCATACCAAATTGTATAATGGTGGTCATGGACATGGTTCTGAGGGTTTTAAATGGAGAGCACATGAGGAGCTATCTCTCTCTGCTCCACTACTCTCCTATGTGAGACCCCTGAGTCGCTGTCACCATCAACAAAGCCTTCACCAGATGTGTTCCCTGAACTCCAGACTTCCCAGCCTCCAAAACTATAAGCAATAAATTTCATTTTCTTTAGCAATTACCCAGTTCTGGGTATTTTGTTATAAGCAACAGAAATGGACTAATACAGAAAATTGGTACCAGAGAAGTGGGGTGTTGCTTATAATAAATACTTGAAACTGTGGAAGCAGCTTTGGTGCTGGGTATTGAGGAGAGGCTGGAAGAATCTGAAGGAGCAGGCTAGAAAAAGCCTAGTTGCTGGTAGGAGTTTAGAAGACAAGAAAACCAGGGCAGGTTTGGAACATTTTAGAGACTGGTTAAATGGTGCTGACCAGAATGCTTATGAAACCCAAAACAAAACAAAACAAAAAATCCTCCATACATACTATAAGTTACTGGTAGTAAAATTAAAGACGTACCTCACGGACTTTCTCAATGGCATAGGTAAAAATATAAGCAATAACAATCCATTCTTGAACTGAAGGTAATCGTTCCATTTGTACAAGAACCACAAATGTATAAAGCATCAGAAATCCTAAATATGCCAACTAATAAAAAAGAAGTAACAGTTACATAAATAAAATTGGCTATAAAATAAAACATTTTATTATGGACATTTTCAAGCATATACAAAAATAGACACTAAATGAATCTCTGAATTATCCCCTAGCCTCAATCATTAAAAGTTTTAGAAGGGGCCGGCCCGGTGGCGCACTGGATAAGTGCGCCGCTTGGGAAGCACGGTGGCGCTCCCGCCCGAGGGTTCGGATCCCACGTACAGACCGGTTCCCGCTCACTGGCTGAGCGAGGCGCGGGAGCAGCACCGAGGGTTGCAATCCCGTTGCCGGTTCCCCGGTCCGGTACGGGGGCAACACTGAGGGTTGCAATCCGTTGCCGGACACGGAAAAAGATAAAAGACAAAAAAAAAAAAAAAGTTTTAGAAGTAGCTCTTCTTCCGTGTAGACACTGCATTATCAAAGTATAAATCGTCCCCAGAGTATAAATGTGTTGTTCTAAAACTTTGTCAATCTTTTAGAACTTTCCATAGAAACAATTTTATAATATCAGGTTTATGTTCTCAGCATAGTCCACACAATTCTGTTCAACATATATTAAACCTAGAGTATCATAGTGTATTAAAATTACTGTAGAACGTTACTACCATGATCATCAAGGAACATATACTTTCTGCCTCCTCCCCCAACCAAATAGTATTCCTAGTTAAAGACACTGGTATTTTCCTAGCTCCCAATCACTAAAGTTGAATCTCAAGAAATGGAAATGGACGTGAATAGGAGTTACCCTAGATAAGGGAATAGCCCCCCTTTGATACTCTTAACAAAAAAGGTTATAGGGAGGTGATAAGGTCTATGCATAACATCTGAAAGTTCATTTCATTTCAGAGGGAAAACTCACACTCATTGATACTTAAAAAATTATGGCCATTTTCATTAGTGAGGACAGAATTTGGGGATTAGATCAGATAATTGAGATTTGTGCTTTTTTTTTTTTTCCTTTTTGTCTTTTTTCGTGTCTGGCAACGGACCGCAACCCTCAGTGTCGCGCCCGTACCGGACCGGGACTGGCAACGGGATAGCAACCCTCGTGCTGCGCCCGCCCCTCGCTCAGCCAGTGAGCGGGAACCGGTCTGTATGTGGGATCCGAACCCTCTGCAGGAGCGCCACCGCGCTCCCAAGCGGCGCACTGTAGCAGTGCGCCACCGGGCCAGCCCCAGATAATTGAGATTTGTAATTTCAACACACGAACAGGAAGGAACAAGAAATTTTCACACTGAGAAGTAAGGAAATACAACAAATTAGTCTCAGGTTAATGGGTAAGAAAGCAATGGCTGAAGAAACAAAATCTCAAATGTTCATCTGAGCACAAAACTATTTGTATACTTTGGCCAACTGAAAAAAATTCCTAATATTGATAAAAATGAAAAAAACAACAACAAAATAAAAAACACCTTAAGAGTTTTTCTAGGAAGGGAAGTAAAACCTCATCCTCTCAGCCCCTGTTTAAAAGTAGGGGCTAATCTCATGTGTCTTCAGGTGAGTCCATCCCTAGGGAGAGTGATGTTAGCAAAATAGCCAACTGCTAAGTTCCTAGCGCTGCCCCCCGTGCAACAAAACCCACCAAAACAATGAATAAATAACTACATCTCAATGAAAATAACAGGTGAGTCCACAACTCTATGGACATATGCTCTTTAAAATGCTGGTAAAATCCATTTTTCCATAAAACAAGAGAAAGAAAAGCCTATTATGTGGCAGGTAGTCAAGCATACACTCTAATAAGAGAAATAAGCCACTGATAAATAAAACCATATGAATGATCTGGATTGCTCTTTATCATCATCAATTAACACTGAAAACAGGTTTATGTCTAAACTTTTTTGTATTATCTGTAAAATCCTAAAGCACAAAGAAATTATAATTACATATCAGAGTTTCTTTCAGTTAATCTTTCACCATTATTTCTAATAGATGATTAGTATTTGTTACTCACTCACAAATGCCAATGGTTACGAAACATTAACAAATTTTAAGTTCCAATTAGAACCAAAATTTGTTAGTGTTATTCTAGATGTTGGCAATTTGGATGAAACTAAGCCAAACTTCTTGCTATTTTAAATGGGAAATGCCTTTTCAGTGATCCAAGTTACAACAAGATTAGTATGTACTCTAGATCAAAGGTCCCTTAAGGCCTATTTTTTAAAAACATAATGCTCATAGAATTTAAAAACATACCGTGTTAAACCAGAATTTTACAATTGGTGCATGATAAAAGGCATAAAACTTTCGTGTAATTGGAAGCTTTTTTGATTTTATCTGTATCTCCATTTCATTCTTTCCTTCATTACTGTCCAAAATCCTTACTTCTTTAAATAATTCCTAAAATTAAAAAAAGAAGTCTAAGGTACACTTATTTACAACAAACTTATATTTATTTTAAAATTTTTTCTTACCATGGGGATCTCTTCCATTATGTTTTGAAAGTTGTTTTCACTATCTTCCATTGTCATCTGATGAGCGTCTTGAGATTGTGGGATATGGGACATTTCAGCCTTAGTTTTGTATTCTAGCATTAATATGGCAGGTGGAACTAGAATGCTTAATATGACCTACAATTTTTAGAAACATATAAGTTTGCAATGACCTTTGAGAATATAATAAAAACAATAAAAAGTTATTAAATATCTTATGATTATTAGCCATTTTGCCCCTAGCCTTGTAGGGAAAAGACAAAAAAATTCATTTTTTACTTACACATTGTACTTAAAGAGGCCCAGGTTGAATTGTTTTAAGGAATAACAAAACGTGAGTATTTAATAATGTCAGTATAGTCTAGATTCAATAATTATTATAGACTTGTTCAGAAAACGTATTTTTGTTTAAATAAAATTCAAGCCTTATGAAGGTTCTATGTGCTTAATTTTATCCTAAATCTCTTTGCAAGTGTTCCATGTCATAACATGATTACTCAGCTTGTGCCTCTATAAACAAAAAGGTTTGTTTCTAAAAATTTATGTATTACTTGCAAATACTAAAGCAGAAAGAAATTATAATTGTATAACCGGGGTTCTGTTGGTTATTCTTTCAGACCATTATTTTTAGTAGATGATTAGTATTTGTTATCCACTAACAAAGGCCTATGGTTAAACTACTTGCCTGACTTTGGCCTTCTATATTTCTGTACCTTATTTTAAAAGATATAAGAGAATAAAAAGAGAAGTTTAAAGCAATCTCTGTCACTATGACAAAACTGACAAAGCCAGCCATTTAACTGAAATTCTTAACCTTAAAAACCGGGCATATTAATAAACTTAGCCATAAGTATAAACTGGGTACGTGGATATATATATACTTATCCAACATATTTCAAGTAACTTAAAAGTAACAGATTATTAAGTCAGTAGATAGGTCCTGAATTTTAGAATTTGGGAATTATCCTTTCATAAAGCAGTAACTCTTTTTTCATGGCTGCTCAAGGCTGTAAACTCCAATATTCCCAATCTGTTGCCCTCATACTTCTGACTCAGAAAGTAGCAACAATCATTATACACACCTGAGGAGAACTCAAGAGTAAAGAATAGGAAGGGAAGAGTGCCCATTATGCCACTGGGATGAAATGCCAACCAACCCTTCTTCACCCCCCCTTAGTAACCCCCACAGTCACCCTCACAAATCAAAGCATTTTACTATACATTAGGATAATTCTCCTGTTTTTAAAAATCTAATCACATACTTTATATCAAATTATTTCCAAGCTATACCTTGTACCATGAATTTTTCCTCATATTCAGCCTTCCCATCCACATATCAGATAATAGCATTTGTGTACAGGTATGGGCTACAAAAGGTCTAAGTCTTGAAGAAACTGCTAACTTTAGGCAGGTTGAATTACTCCAGTTTTTCAGTTCATAAGTGAGCAATTTCATAGCCATGGTTTCATCTTGCCTGAAGGATTGTTCTAGTAATTCAACTGCCAGTTGACCGAAATCACTATAAAAAGATAAAATCCAAAATATACTCAGATTAACAAATTGCAGTTTTAAACCACTATTCTTAAATTCATTCATAACACTTTCTAGTTTTTAATATTTTCACACACACACAGTATTGTAAGGCATTAGAATCATAGTAGCTGTATTTTTTCAAACATTTATATGGAAATCACAAAATATTAAAATATGTCACATTAAGTAAAAGACTGAGCACTTTCTCCTGGTCCTAGAAATAAATTATAGTCTCACAGGAAACCAAAACTAACAATATTGTAATGCTCTGTTGAAAAAAGTCTTACATAGTATTTCAAACATAGAAAAGGGTTGGTACCCAGTAGGGAGGAAGAAAAGTGTGACTAGGGGCTAACCTAAATCATGAGAAACATCTGAATCTTGAATCCCCACTAACATAAGATACCTGTTTGAGTTGTTTTCAGTAATAGCTGTTACTCTCTTCCAAAGACAGCCCATTTGAGAGGGAAGAGAGGGAAGGTCTTAGTATCTATTAGAAAGCTTCCTACAAACTACCTTTCCAGCTTAATGTTCTAATACTCCCCTAAGTAAATTGTAAACTTTTATGACTATTTTATTCTTCTATATATGTAGTTTCAACATTTGAAATGCCCTCCTAGTTGAATTCAGTCTATTTCCTTAGAACACAGCTCAAACCTCACTTTCTTCCTTTCCTTACCACTCCAAATGGAACTTTTCCTAATCTAATTGCTACCATGTGCAATTATCAATCTGACTTCTGGCCTTTCTTCTTTCTTACTGAAATATTTGACTCTTGAGTTGCAAACAATGTAATAATAACCTCTTCCACATCAGAGGCAGAAAAGTTTCTTTTTGAATTTTAAATAATACCTAGTACATTTTAAAAACAGTTTTCTCTTAATTGTACCAATAAAATTATACATATATATTCCTATTAAGTGCATGGCACTATATAACAGCCACTTAAACACTGTCTATTTTGTATTTTTTTTTTTCCTTTTTGTCTTTTTTCGTGTCCGGCAACAGATCGCAACCCTCAGTGTCGCACCTGCACCGGACCGGGACCGGCAACGGGATCGCAACCCTCGGTGCTGCGCCCACACCTCGCTCAGCCAGTGAGCGAGAACCGGTCTGTATGTGGGATCTGAACCCTCGGCAGGAGTGCCACCGCGCTCCCAAGCGGCGCACTGTAGCAGTGCGCCACCGGGCCAGCCCTACTTTGTATTTTTAAAATGTTTCTCAAAGGATAAAATATAACTTACTTGGAATACTGTTTCAGTTCTTCTGAAGTATCATCTACCAGGTCACTCTGCTTTGCTTCGTATGCCATTGAACGATAAATCTTACAGGCGACTAGTGCTTTAGCCATTGATTCTTCACCATGCTGCCATAAAAAACGGGCCATAACCTGCCTCTTCATAAGGCAAGCCCAAATTAACAGTTCATTGAGTGGATAAGGAAAGCGCTTGGTCTCTGGGTCATCAATATCTACAATTTCATCTTTGGTTCTTTTCTTCTTTCCTTCTTCCACAGCTGTATCAATCTTCAAAGGAAAATATATATTATAAGGGTCATTATAACAAGGCCACATGACATTCGTGTTAGTGAAAACTTTTATAAAATATCCTTTATATTCTTCAACATCTTCAACTATCCTCACTGTTCTTTGACATCATATAACTGCACATAACAGTATAAATTCTAGAAACTTGATTTTTATTATAGCTCATAATTCTTTTTTTTTAAATGCTATTTCAGGGCCGGCCCGGTGGCGCACTGCTACAGTGCGCCGCTTGGGAGCGCGGCGGCACTCCTGCCGAGGGTTCAGATCCCACATACAGACCGGTTCTCGCTCACTGGCTGAGCGAGG